CTCAGCCTCCCCAAGTGCAAACCAGCTCACCATGGACTACAACCATAAAACTGTCCTCTATGTCACAGGGTTGGGCACAGATTTTATTCCAGCAACAGGAAAGCTGGGCAAAAGAAGCCCAATCTATCACTAATCTATCAGCGACCAAGCTCCTCTTCTATCCAAGCCCCAAGTGATCACTTTGGCAGGGAGTCTTAGCACTGCATGGAAAATACTAAATAATAGAATAACGAGCTTAGCTTTCTGCACCTACCGGGATGTTCCTCTGCTTCGAAACAGAGCTTTTCCAAGAGCAAGGCTAAGAACTGTTTCACGCTTGGGAGCATGGAACTCTGGGCGGAGGCCCAGGCCCAGCATGCACTCAGTTGTATAAGAACGTCAGGGCTGCTTCTTGAAATCAATAAACAGCTTTCAGACAGGGATTCCCAGCCCTTATTTCATTGAAATGAAGACTAGTATGGCATTCCAATTGGATAAACAAACATCTTAAAAAATAAAGAAACCTTTTGCTACCAGTTCCTCTATTATCCAGAACACGCAGGGTCCACGCGACCAGAGGCACAGCCTGAGGGGAGGCCAAAGTTCAGAGTCACTGGGCTGCCACTCAGCGTCTAGAGAGAAGTTCACACACCACGGCACTGCCTTCATGTGCAAAGACACAGCTTAAGGGTCGTTTTCATAGTTTTTGTGTTCACAGAGAATCTGTAGTAGAAACTGTTCCTGAAGAAATGTCTGCATATTCTACAAAACTCGCTACAGAAGTGAGCTTTTAGCACTTCTCAGGTAAGGATCTAAGGGAGCCAGTTCTTGGAGGAGTCACCAGAGAAGGAGCCCTCTGCTAGAATGATAAATGCATTCCCTTTAACCCGTAATCATTTTCTCTGCCCTGATGTTCATAATCTTCCCACAGCAGGAACCACCACACTCCCCAATCTGTCTCGGGAGTAGGTAGATCAACCACACCTCAGCTGCAGATCGTTTATATCTATATAAAAATCTCACACAATACACCACTTTGTGCTGTGAACCTGCCTCCCTGCTAAGTCTACCACATGTGGCTGACACAGGACAAGACAGCTGGCTTCTCATACATTTCACAAGCACTTATTGAGTACCTGTGAAGGGACACATGTGAAGGAATTCTAGGACATGAAGTCATACACCTAACCTTAGCAGACTCAGCTTCTCTGGCTGCTTATCCATTTCTCAACTCGAGTTTCCTCTCCAACAAAACATGGTCACTGAGTCAGGAAGGCCCTGTTCAAACCACTGCTCCCTTCTGCTGCATCAGTGTAGGCAGATTAATCACATCTTCATCTATAAAACATAGAAGGTACCACCTTAGCCTACGAAACTGTCACAAAGATCAAGTAGGATAATCTTCAAAGACACCTGCTAGTAGGCTACCTGGACTGTCTCAGATACTGACTGACCTCATTCTGGGGCTTCCATGGACAGCCTAGCTTTAGAAAAGGTGTCTGGACACTCTTCACACTAGACTACTGGCTCCTAAAGGGTAACTGACAGATATTTTGAAGGATTCTGGTCAATGCTAGAGGACTCAATGAGTAAGGAATAAATAAGCCATGGTCTTGGGTTTTCTTTTGTTTGTGTGTATGTGTCCTAGGATTATTTTGCATCAGAACAGCACACCATTTTTCCTATGAATGACTTTACAGCATCTCTTCTTATGGAGGAGCTGTATGCCACCGTGTGTACATATCTGCTTTTCTTTACTTGTTGGTCCCTATGCTGATGGACATACGGGCCACTTCCAAGATTTAGCTGCTCTGAGTCACGCTGCTGTAAACATGGGCATACATGCATCACTGTATGTAACGACTTTAACTCTTTCAAGAAGGCCATAATGTTAGGTTAAATAAATCAGACACATAAACTTAAATATCATGGAGTTTCTTTGGTATGAGAAGCCAAAATGTAAGTGAAGAGCAAAATAAAACATAGATAATAAAAAAATAGGGAGATCTTTCTCAGAGAGAAAGGGCATCAAGAGATGGAGGGGGACAGAGAGGAGGGAAAAGGATGGAAAAAGAATGAAGCTGTGTTGTGCACACATGCCACGCCTACACCAGAAAGGCACATACGAGTACTGCATGCGTGGATTAATGCAAGCCCCTGAGACCCTCCAGTGCCTCTGTCGTGCGCTTTCCTCAGTACCTCGGCCCTCCGCAGATGGCCTAGCTGCCCCGAAGTCCTCGCTCCCACCCAACATACTGTCCGCCGACTTGGGGTAAGCCAAGTGTTACAGTCATGTGTGCTAAGAACTACAAAGAATGGATCAATCTGATAAACCTTAGGGCAAGCAAAGCGAATCCTAGCTATGGCCATGCAGCCAACCACAAGTACCTGCACTTTCAAGGGTGCAGCTGTAGTCTATCAACAAATCCACTCTGGACTGCAGGATGAGCTTATGTTCAGGAGTACCACAGGTGAAATCAGCATCTGTGGTTTGTTCTGGTTATGATTTCCTTTCATTTTCAGTCTTCTCTTGCAATAAATTTGGATGCATTAATCTACTTTTTAAAAAACAACATCCTTGTACTGTCAATTAAAATAGTTTATCAGAAAAAAAGTGTTGAAGATAAGCAATCAAGTTGAAATGATATTTTTTGCTAAGGCATTTTCAATTTCTTCTGCCTTCAGAAAAAAATGGAAATAATTATTCTCAAATATTTGACAGCCAAAATCATTTGAAACAATCATTTAACCAAATTCTCAAATAAGATAAACAGTGAGCTGATGAACTCCATAATGCAATGACTTGGAGAATGAATCAATATGCTTTTTCTGAATTTAGAGATAGATTTAATATGGGAAACACTACCACTTGCACATCAATAATAACACTTTTTAAAAGGAAAATATGACAGTACTCTAAGACAGAGCTGCTACAAATAGGTAACAAGACTTCGCACATGAACAGCTGCACAATAAACAGACTGCAGCTCTAATTTCTAGAAGTATATTTTCTATTTTAGCAGTACATTTGTAGTATATAATGATTACCTCCTAGGCATGGCCCCGAGACTATAATTACCAGTCCTAAAATGTATATAAAGTGTCTGCCAATACATTGGATAATATTTCATTAAAAAAGTAAAATTTTAGAAAAAGAAAACTGTAAAGGTCAGTGTCTTAGCAATCACTCAATGAGAGTCCAATGCGTTTATCCTCTGTAGAGGCCAAGTGACTTTTCCATCTCCACGTGTCGGACATTATCCCCACTCTGTGTGCTCGGAGTCCCCAGTCCACAGAACCAGAACTGTTCCCATCCCTGTGGTGGGGGAGCTGCCAGCTGCCTTTTGTTATGGTGACCTCTTGCCTCTTACCTTTAGAGGTTTCCATCCTTAATTACTATAATAACACAGCCCCTGACTCTGTGCAGCTCCACCCCCAGGCCCCAGGTCCAGAGCTGCTCAGGAAACTGGTGGGAAAAGTGAAAAAGAGCCGCAGCATTTGGGGTGGGGTGGGGGTGGGGGGCTGAGCTCACAGCCCCAGCTTTTGGGCACCAGTATGGTTTGTAAGGGACCTGGATACTGTAGCAGTCTCTCCAGTCTTCCACTGCAGGAATAGCCTACCTTTTCTTTAAAAAAAAAAAAAAAAAAAAAAAGAGGGGGAAGAAGGAAACTGGAAAAAAGAAAAATTTTCCATTGCTTTTCATACTCAGCCCTATCCATAAATCAAAACTCCCCAGGTGACTCTGATCAGCAGCTCCACAAACCTGAGCACATCTCCAGCTCCCTAACCCTACTTCCTCGCATCTAAAATAAAAGGGCTGGCCCATTGATCTCCTTCATGGGATAGTGTCTCTTTTATGGTCCAGTTTCAATTATCTGGCAGATTCAACATAACCTGTCTGTAAAGTCTCCCAGATATGATATACACATAGCTAACTAGAGGAGCTATTACAACACCGAACTTAAAAACGCTTTTAACCCAGGGAAACCAGAGTCTGCTTTGTCGATCTTCCACCCTCAAGGAGCCCAGTGTCCTCTCTAAATCTGGGAATGATGGAGTGGTACAGCACAGGGGCTGGCCAGGCCCCATCGTCACCCGTTCCAAGTGTTCAGTGCATGACTCACACCAGGCGATGTGATTTACAGGTATTATCAAGTGTGTCTCTGAGAAATAGAGGTTTACGAGGATTTTTGCAAAGTAATCACAGACTGAAAATAATACCAACAATGATCCCAAAAGCAAATGACTAAAAACAAAAAGCCAGGACTAACATGTTTGCTCTCTTAAGTCAGTTCCTTATCAACATCACCAGGAAGTAAAACGAGGCATGTCAACTGGATGTGAAATGACGTGCTCCCATTGTGATCCCCTAGAAGCACCAGAGCTGCCCAGCCCTGAATCAGGACGCTCCCTGAGAGGGCATGGGCCAACCATCTGCTGCAAAGGCTTAGCAACAGGCTGTGGTCGCTAGGGCTTGGGAAGGAGTGAGGACAGGAAGCTAGAAGCCTCCCTTCTGGGAGGGGCCTGTGCAGTGTGAGCCTCGTGCAGTGGAAGAGCACGCGTAGACCTGGCGGAGCCATGGTCCTGGTCCGAGGGACCTCTCCACAGGTCGGAAGCCCCTGCACCTTTCACTTCGCCTGTCTCACAATTCTGGGACTTGGCACACAGGGTTTCAATAAATATTAATTTTATTCTTGACAGAAACATAAAGAATATATATATTATATTATATTTTGTACTCTACTATAGCCCCAGCTCTTTTACTTTGAGAGTTTCCTCACATCATTAATTTGCTCAGGATGGGCTTGAACTTTTGCTCCTCCTGCCTCAGCTCCTAGGACACATTATAACACAGTAATACACCCCAGTATAAATGTATTCAGTGGGCTGGGAAGATAGCTCAGTAGAATAAGCCAAGGGCCTGAGTTCAATCCCCAGTTCTGCCAAAATAAATAAATAAATAAATAAATAAACTCAAGTCAACCAAGACTTAAGGGCCCTGTTAGCAGTTTTTAACTTACCACATTAAAGTCTAAATTTTTTTCAATCCATAATTTTGCTTCTTGAAATTCATCTTTCATTCCCATAATAAAAAGTGTATCCAGGGCATCTACTATAGTTGCTCCTTTGATATTACCTGAAAATACAAAAAAAAAAAAAAAAAATCAATAAAATACATATACATATGAAAATTGACCCCCTAGGAAAAAGGGGGTAATTCTCATAAGTTTAAGGCATAAAAGGGGATGATTCTGAACTGATTAATAAGCCATAATTCTGACCATAGTCTAAAACTGAAAGAAACTAAAGAATATGCACCAGTAACAAATCAGACATTAGCACAAGTAATGATATGTCATCTTTAATGTCTCTTCTGTGCCACAGAAAGTAAGTTTGAGAAGTGTCTTTTGTGACATTCTCTGGCAAAAAAATAAGAATACTAATAGGAGCAGGACATGGGTTCATTTTCTTGGAATCACACTGCAGTGTCCCTGCCCTCACTGTCTGCCTATTTTGGCTGGACCACCTGGCTGCTGAGAGCTTTGACACTGTCACATCCCCCTACCTATGAGCAGTGACCTGCATGCTGGTGGACTGACACAGCTGGTGGCACCTGCCCCCGAGGTCTTGTTTTCTACCTGAACACATGCAAACCCAATGCCCTCTGCCCTTGGTGAACATCCGTGTGAGGGGCTGAAGCTCAGCTGGAGGAGGGCCAGCACAGCTCACGAGGGCGTTTTCTGTCCACACCACCTCACGGGGAGAATGCTGGTTCTTGCTGTGGACGCGTACCTTAGCACAGGCACTTCCCTTTCCTCTCCTTAGGAAGCATCAAGGTTCACAATTTGTTCTCACTGCTGCTATTCTGCACCTCCTCCACGTCTGGGAGGTGCTAGCCTCCCTACCCTATTCCCTGGGTCTACAGACGTGAAAAGTCCAACACACAATACTGCAAACCGAGTCTGACTGCCATGGCTGCCCAAGGACTAATGGCACCCAGGCCTGGCCAGCCTCTACTTCATATTGCGCGGCTCTTGTCCTCACTGTCCCCTGCCCTGGCCTGCGTTCCCCAGACTGTGCCCTTTTAAGGACATGGCCTGTCCTGCCCATCTCCACAACCTCCGAGTCTGTGGGACAGGCAGTGACGCCGTACCTGGGTGGCGAGCAACCGGTGTGCAGAGCTTGCGTGGTTTGGCCAGGCCAGGGCCACATCTGTCCAGGAAACAAGCTCACCTCCTAGGCGAGCGGCAAAGTCCCTTCAACCCTGCACTGAAAGCAGTGCCCCTTAGCAGGTCTTGGGTGCTACAATATTATAAGGTTAGGGTTTTCCACACCACGCAGGGCAGTTCCACATCCTACCTGACAACGATGGAAGCATTTCAGGGCGTATTTTATTGTAATTCAATGTTCTCTAGAACACAACATTTTTGAGATGGAACTATGGATTCAGGTCAACACTGAAAAGTGTATTTTCAAGTAGCACTTTGAAATATGATATTCAAATATGGCACCAGCTTCCTATTTTGTCATTTTATGAAGAGCTTAAGTTCTCATTTTTATATTTTAATTTTATACTGAAAACAGCTACTCAAGTACAAATTATCTCCCTCTGAGCCCAGTGTGAGAAAACTCTCAAACGACTTCTGCAGCCCACATAGGACACCTGTCGTCCCAGTACTACAGCAGGGTGGAGGCCAGCCTGGGTTTCAAGTTCAAGGACAGCTTGTACTGCAGCATAGAACCCTGCCCTCTAAGTGACAACCCAGAAGTGTATTATCTCGCTGTGAAATAAATTTTATCTCTGATAGCTGATATTGTAGTTGTCATGTGGGAATTAGGACTGAAGTGGTGAGGATTTGAGATCATTTCCTACATGCATTTAAATGGTTTTAAGTTAGCCAAGTAACTAGCTTCTTCTCCAGTCTCAGTGGGAAGACACAGTCGGGAGAAAAAAGCAGCTTGGAGGGATGCCTGGGAGGAATCTCTGGGAAAGCTCCAACTCGAGGGGATGAAGAGCTCACCAGTAATGGGCTGTGTGTGAGGGCCTTCTGTACAACCTGGCTCAAAGGGAAGGGAGGGCCACGACTAGGAGGTGAGCGGGGCCGCAGGCTGCCTGGTTCTACCTGGCAAGCTGGGAAGCCAGGCCGTCTGCTGCCGAAGGCTCCGAGCAGTCTGCCGTCCCCTCCTAGTGTGGACGCACTGTTCTCTGTGCTGTCTCACTGCAGGGCACCAGTGTGGTAAGAAGTCCTCACGTGGTCCATTTTATTTATTCATTTATTTATTTTTGGCGGAACCGGGGATTGAACTCAGGCCCTTGTGCTTGCCCAGAAAGCACTTAGTCTACTGAGCCATCTCCCCAGCCCCATGTGCCCATTTTAACTGACAACTATCGATAGATACTTTTATTTCTTGGTAGTAAGTAACATTATTATTATTATTAATATGTCATTTCCTTATGCTAATATCCAAAGCCATGTTTCCAGAACAATTTTCCCCCCATTCGCGTGTCTGGTGCAGGGTCTCACTACACAGCTCGTGCACGCGGGCCCAGGAGTACTTCTTATCTGGAGCATGAGAAACGCTTCTGCTTCCAAAATTAGGAAAAGAGGCTTTAATACATTTTAAAGTTAGGTCATTAAGTTGGAAGCCGTCAGTACCTGAGACCACATAACCTATTCGGCAAATTAACTGTCAATTAATACAACCTGGCATCTCAGTGGGACACCTGCTCCAGGGAAAGCAAACCCCCGGCTGCGCTTTTCAGCCCTACAGAGCGCCTGGCTCTGCCTCCCCTGCCGGGCGCCCGCAGGCTCCCCCCCTCGCACCGCACCGCCCCTCTGCCCCTCCCCCTCCCCGTCCCTCCCCTCCCTCTTCCCCTCCCCCTCCCTCCCCTCCCTCTGCCCCTCCCCTGTTCCTCTGCCCCGCCCCCTCCTCCGTCCCTCCCCCTCTCCCCGCCCCGCCCCGCCCCACCGAGGCCGCGCACGTGCACACAGGGAGGCTCCAGCAGGCCTCAGCATGCCGCCCTTGGCCAGGTGTAGAGCGGATTCCGGCCTCCTGGCCAGGGCCAGGGCCAGGGCCAGGGCCTGGGCAGGGGGATAGAAGCCTCGCCCCGCGCCGCGGCCCCGCTGGGCAGCACGGGGAGGAGGAAACTGCTAGGCCCACACCGCCCCGACGCATGCAACAAACTAGGAAGGCCGCTCTCTGTAGAGAACGGAGCCCCAGACGCCCTCACGCGCACCTGAGTACGTCAGGGAACTCTCACGTCACACAAACCTCCGCCATGTCACATGACCTGCACGTCACACGCACATTCCACGCGTCACAGGAACCTCACGTGCACTCTCCACCTATCACAAGGGCCCCGGCCACGTCACACGCACTCTCCGCACGTCACACGCACCTCTCACGTCACGTGAACTCTCCACCGCGTCACACGCACTTCCGCTTCACGTCAGCCGAACCTCCGCCCTGTCTGAGACCTCTCCGCGCGCTCCCCGCCGCTCCACGCCCTCCCACGCCCCGGCGGCCCCGCAGGCGCAGCTACTCACCGAACAGGCTGCTCGAGTGGCCACCTCTGGAGATGGGCTTCAGCTCGTTGAGCCCCCAGGCGTACAGCTTGTAATTGTCCCAGGCGTGCTTCATCATCTGGAGGGAGACGTGGACAAGACTGTAAGCAGGACTACCACGGTAGAGCGCGGAGCGTTATGGCTGGCTGAGGGGGCAGTGACGCGATGAGAACGTCAGAAGGCGCCTGGACATCGGGCACGCACCACTGCCCTCTTAGGCCTAGAAATTCTTTTGAGTACATTTAATCCTTTTTAATACAAGTATCAGTTCCCAATAACAAGAGTTAGCCTTCCCACAAGGATGAATCATTCCCACATTTATCTATTCTCGTAACAGATCTGTAAAATGTATGTGTAAAATGCATATTATTGCCTGAAGTTCTTTCTACTTTGTTTACCTCATGCTATGTAGACAAAAATTCACAATTCTCCTTTAAGCATTAATGTTTCCTGACCAATGGAGAAACACTTTTGAAATATCCACAAGAAATAAAAAGTATACCTTGTGGTTATACCTACATTAAAATAACCCATTTATTTTAATGTGATCAATCTTTAATTGAACATGTGCATATATAGGTCTATGTTTTAAAAGACAAACCTGCATCCTGTAAATTAATTTATATGTTTTTCCATGACTCAGAGACCACATATAATTTTTGTATAAACTTTCTTTTAAAAGGCTTAGGTACTCAACTGTTTGGAGCGTCTCCCTTTGGAAACAATAATCCAAGGATGGACACACTTCTCAAGTGTGTTAATCATGTCCCATATTTTTAATGTCTTAAAATACATCACACTATCACAGATGCCCGTTCAGCAACACCCAAAATCGCCCGTGAGATCAACGCCGCTCTATTGCCGAGGAGTCTTACCTGTCCCTGAGGCAGCAGCGAGCCTCTCTAACCAGGGCATCTCTGCTGTGCCACTGTCACTACTACTCACGGCAAGTGGGATCTCTACTACCTGCTGGGACTCTAAAACGTTTGCTTTGGATATAGAACCTAATTTTTGCTACAACCCCATGAAATATACTTTATTACCATCATTTGGTAGATGAAGAAAGAGGCTTGAAGCTTAGAAACACAGCATGACTGAGCCGTGACCCTGTCCACAGCCAGGAAGCTGGGCTTGTTTTCCTGCTAGCCAATTGCAGAGCAAAATCAAGAACAAACACAGACGCAGCCGCCCACCAACACACAGCTGCTGCTCTTCCCAAAGTCGAAAGACTATGCCCAGGTGCCACTTCAAGATTTCCTTCTTGCAAATTAATCTAACTGGAACGTATCATTGGGTTAAAGCCAGGTAACTTTATTTATAATCCCTTCAATGTCTCAGATTAGTCACACACTCAGGAGTGAATCACAGTCTGAGGCTCTTTCCTTATCTAGAAAGAGTAGAATCTGAATTCTTCACGGTGTGTAAATCCCCATCAACATTGCCTGTGTCTGCAGACCGTTCTGCTTGACAGAAGGCAGACTGTCACATGTTTATTAAATTTTACACAATATATTAAATCAGTTATGTTCACACCATGAAAAACAGAAACAAAGGAGGCTGTGCAAGTTGAACTGTACAAAAACACCTTAGATTGTAATTGTTAGTAAATGCTTCTGTCCTGTAGATTTCCAATGATAACTTCAAAAATTCCAAAGCTTTTAGTATACCCTTGACATAAAATAGAAAAAAATTATCACACTTTACTTCAGTGCTGCTTCGGAATAGAAACCTGCACCAATAGCATGAGTGGCTCTCACAGCCCAGCCCGGGTCTCCTCAGTTTCCTCTGTGTGCACATCAGCTTTTCCTACCCCAGGCCCTACGACAACCTGACACTGCTGCTCAGCTTCCCACGTCAAACACGGCTGTGACACGTTTCGCGAAAGGGGTCCCTCCTTTCAGGAGATTCGCATGAGTTAATTTTAGAAAAGAAGAGCTAATGTGGTCAGCATCCTGAATGGAGCATCAGGTTGGTTTCCGTAGGCCGTGTAAAGTGAAACAACTGCTGTGGTGACCGGCTGCTCTGGGCAGTCACCTCTGAGCATCACGCACCTTGTTAAAACTGACTGGAGGATGTGTATGGCACATGCGTCGGGGAGTGGGTACACCGGCACAGAGCAATCATGAATCTGGATTCACAAATCATACATAAAATGAACTTAATTCAGGTTTAGGACTTAATTGAAACATCCAAATGCTCCCAGCTTCTAACTGCAGGACTAAGCCACTGGCCATTGAGGGGCCCCAGGGACCAAGATCTTCTCGGGGTTCTATCATCGTGAGCTGACAGATAAGGTCACTTCCGAGTTCCCCTGGCCACAAAGAAGCCCAGGGACAGTGCTGATGCCCCGCACAGGCCCCTTGCTTCTGTGCTGCAGCCTTTCATGAACTTAATTAGAGGTTCGCAGCTTGACAGTCGAGGCAGAAATTAAAACAGACTACACACACTCAAGGAAGATTAGGACTTCAGGGCATGCTGAGCCTCTCATGAGAAAGAGAAAGCGAAAGCAAACCAAGAGGCTCGTCCTGTGCATTCACATTTGCCTTGGTGTGACATACAGCAGAGCTGACCAGCTGTAGGGGGAATCAGCCGAGAATGACACACTTCACAAGACCGAGCCACTGACTCAGAAAAGTCACAAGGTAGGCAAAAGCTAGCATCTGCTTCTTGATGCTCCCCTTACAGAAAAGGTTCATCAATGTGTACTTTCTTTTCAGTTGACATCCAGGCTGAGTAATTAGGCAATGTCATTTATCGAGTGTTCCCTACCCTGAATAATAGGCTGCTGCAGGGCTGCAGGGAAGAAGACAAGAGTCCATCTGATTTATAATCCAACAGATAATGTGTGCATATTCAATACCATCAATAGCCAATAAAAGTTGATAGAGGCAACTACTTGAATATTATATATGACTCTCTTGTTGTACCTAACTAGTTATTTTCAATGTCATGTCCAACCTCATCAAGAACAGTGCAAAGAAAAATGCCTGTATTTCTTTTTCTTTTTGGCGGAACCAGGGATTGAACCCAGGCCCTTGCACTTGCCAGGGAAGCGCTTACTCTACTGAGCCGTCTCCCTAGCCCCTTGTATTTCCTCAGCTTTTCTAACTTGAGTGTTCAAGTTGCTAGGAGCTCTTCCTCACACCTATTTCTATTTGCTGAAGATTCAATCATATTTTGAACTTTTCCTAATGGGTACACTGAAATCCTTTTGAGTATCTCTGTCTTTGCCAGACAGGTCTTACAAAGATGGCAAGCTTCCACTGCCTCTTCAGGAAGCTCAAGTCCCACTTACAGCCCCCTTTCTGGGGTCTTACATAGAATGTCCATAGTTCAGGCCATGCGACCCAGGCCCTCAATCCACAGACAGACAGCTAAGGGCTAGACATGAGCCCTCAAGGTTGGCGGCCTGCTGTGTGGCTCATTGCATGGCTGGGGCGGGAGAGCCCGGTCCTTTGCTCTACCCAGGGAAGCGGAACCCTGAGACATTTGGGCTGCATGTGGAGGCCAGGGAGTAGTGCAGGCGCAGGGATACAAATGCACAGAGAGGAGGAGTCAGGAGGGTGTGGAACCAGGAGGGAAGTAGAGGGAAAGGAGGGAACGGGATAGGAATAGGGGAGGAGGAAGTGAGGCGTCAGGTACCTGGATGGCGCTGGCAGCACGCTGCAGGACCGCAGGAAAGGGCGCTGGATCCCTAACTCCCTTCTCTTGCTCTGCAGGGTGACTATTGCTCAGACTGCTGCTTCCTTCCTGGTCCTTAAGGAAAACCCTCCCATTTACTCAGGAGTAGCACAGGAGGGAAGGCAGGCCACCGCAGACACCTCATACCCAAGCTGTGCAACTTGGGTGTGGCTCCCAGCAAGGTCACTAACCTCCTGGAGCCACGTGCTGCCCTCACCAAGCGGGAATAAGTACAAGTCACCCTGGGTGTGGCGACCAGCAAGTGACATAATGCAGTTAAGGACCTGACACACAGGAAATAATCTACACATGTAAGGTATTCTGATTATTTTTGTTAAAAACCTAAACATGCCTTTAACCTTTGCAATCCTGACTTTCCTAATTTTAACTCGTAATGTATATAAACAAGAGGCACAAATACACAAGAAACCAGGCAAATCTAGATACACAAACTCTATAAATCTCTGCATTTAAAAAATACAACTATTTGGTATCCAAAACACAGAAGGGTTCTTTGTAAGTCTAAGTTCATGCATGACCCTGTAGTTGTAAAAGTTCATCTGCTCTTCTGCAAGGTCCCAGGACATCAGCTGCACCAGCTCACTTGTGTCGGGTTTGTTCCAGGATGTGGCGGCTCACCCCAGAGAAGCTCTGACTCCTGGAGACAGGCATGTCTAACGTGAGCTACAGGTGTTGCTCTGGTGCTTAGCTGGGGCTGGGGAGGGCATTTCTCCCTAGTGGGGGTGGCCCAGGGCAGGGGTCGGCTCAGCGGAGGCAGGGCCCCTCAGCCAGAGCATAGAGAGGTCAGAGTAGGGCGGGCTCTCTGCACAACACCTGTCCCACCACACCAGCAGCCACGAGGTCAGCAAAAGCGAGCGGAACCCTGAGAGGTTCGGGCCACACGCAGAGGCCAGGAGGTGGTCTGGAGATGCTTGCCAAGGCTCCATGCGGTGAGAGGTGCAAGAACCTGAGCTCGGTGCTGTGGGTCGGTGGGTTTCCAGGGGGACAGACCCAGAGGCCAGAAGACCAGGCTGGCTTTGGCGACAGCTCACAGTGTGGCGCTCAGGGAAGAAGGTCATGTGCAGTGACCTGCGCATCTCTGCTGCCTACAGGACACAGAGGCCGGGTCAGGTTCAGCTGGGAGGCCACCCTGAGTAGCTGCCATCAGGGTAGAGAGCCCTGTGCCACTGCCGGAGGGACACACATGGGTGACAGTGTGAAGGGCACTGACTTTAAAAGCCCAGCATTAGTTTCTAGCAAACTGCAGAAATGACTTGTCTGCCACATAAAATCGTTTCTTGAACTTTCAGACAAAATAATCCCAGCACAAAATATTTTTGAAGTCACTGAGCTGTCTTCCTCCCCGAAGTCTTGGGTAGAACTGGAGAATGGGGAGGG